TATTATTAACGTTTTGTGTGTTAAATTTATTAATTAAATATAATGTTCTTCGCACTTACGCCACATAAATTTCAGTTGAATAACAAAATAATAATAATAATACAAAGGTTAAAAACAGCATATCATTAGAATTTCCGACAGACAGTCTTGCGCGCTGGAAATAACAATGTTTTAATCCATACAGTGTTGCCACTTCTCGCTTTCAAATACCCGAATATGGACACCTAAGAGCCCGAATTTTGAATTTGTTTTAATGTGTATTTCATATTTTGTAAAACTTTAACGAATTTTTAATTAACAAACTCAGTGATTTCAAAGCGAGCAACGGCAACACTGTACGAAAAAAAAAAAAAAAAAAAAATTACCTACCTCCAGCGCACGAGATTGCGTATCGGAGATTCTAAAGATAAGCTGTTAGCCCAAATGCTCTCGAAACGTGTAAACGTATGTAAATGGGGAAAAAAAAAAAAAAAAAAAAAAAAACCCGCCCTTTTGGGCATAACATAAAATCTGAAAGCTTTCTTTTCTTTTTTTTTTTTTTTTTTTAAACCCAAAGGGGTTATCAGTTTTGACATGAGATTTTTGTGTTGGTTCACTATAAACGGCTTTGTAGTGCTGTGGTCTGCACGCTGGGCGCGTATTCCAGAGGTCCGTGGTCGATTCCCGGCGAGGACGTTGCTTATTTTTCGTCACTCCTGCTATAAAAATATCGTAATTTCTCTACAGTGGCGCCCGAACTAAAAGAGTGGTGGATGATAATTCTCCACACCCAGGATTTGGCGATTGGGTTTCCTAAAAACTTCAGTCGTCTTTTAAAAGGGGTAGCATATAAGGTATTTCTCTCGCCTTCTTAGCATGCCTTTGTAATGCAGTGGTCTGCACGCTAGGCGCGTATACCAGAGGTCCGTGGTTCGATTCCCGGCAAGGGTGTTGCTAATTTTTCATCACTCCTGCGATAAAAATATCTGAATGTCTCTACAAAATAATGAAGAATTTGGATGTGTGTACGTATGTATGTTGTGAAAAAACGACGGTACCTAGAACCATCCAATACTGAATAACGTAGTCCTCCTCCCGAACATATGCACCTGAAAGCTCGAATTTTGAATATTAAATTGGTTTTATTATTGTGATTTTATAAAAATTTAATATATCTCCCGCGCGTGAGACTATTGCCATTCGGTAAAATGTAAGATATTTGTCTTTCAACTTTAATTACCAAAATCGGCCCTATGAAAGCATTGTGTTGCCGCGGGCGGTTATAAAATACTTTTATCTTCCACGCAACGTGTTGCCATTCAGTAAAGCCTAAGCCTCCTTCATACTTAATCTGGAAGGTTAATGAGTCATAAACTGAGTAGTTATCCTAAACCCATTAATACATTTCAAAAAGCAATAAATACAGTTTTTAAAGAATACGTTTTCCTATTTTTTAATGCAATTGATTTAAATAAACATGCACAGTACAACTCCAGTTATCCAAACTCCGACTATCCGAATCGTTTTCAGAATTTAAGAAAAAAATTAGACGGATGCCACTGCTTGAAAACGAAGATGGAAGTTCTTCAAGAAAATCAATCAAGATAGGAACAAACAAAAATTTAGAAGATGTCGCTTTCAAGGGGTTTTTGCAGCCACGTTCAACGAGAAACCTAGTATTCGATTCTTTATGAAAAAGCTGAGATCCTAGCTCAGAAGCTTAGCTTTTCATGCTTTAGAGCACGTAACGGCTGACTAAGAAATTTTTAGTTCGGGCCCGGTGTCCGTCAAACAGCTTACTTAGACCGAGGTGTTCAGAAAGCAATGACTTTCAGCACTTGTAAGTAATGTACAGTACGCTATATAACATGTACGTAAAAGTGTTGCCTTTTCATTTGAATTTATTAAAACCTCTTTTTCTTTAAAAATAGTTTTTTTTTTTTTTTTTTTTTTTTTTTTTTTTTTTTTTCCCCTATTTTCAACATACCGTACATACAGTAATTAATTAAAGTGTACGTAAATCCTTTCTTCGGAAAAAAAATCCAGTCATCCGAATTTTTGATTATCCGAATGGAGTCCGGTCCCAATTGATTGGAATAATTGGAGATCTACTGCATTCAAATCATGAGGTGTCTAATTAGAAACGTTCAATATTTTTATGAAGTTACATTAGCTGGACTCATTAAAATCTATATTTTCCCTTTTTAATGATAACTGCTTTAAGCGGCTGGCTATCCGAGCGGCTAGTTTTTAAAGAAATAAGATAGCGAATATAAAAGTATGTATGGGAACCTCTGACACTCTATCAGGAACTGTAAAGATATGCTGTTTTTAAATAATTTGTGATTTTGCTGTTGAATTGAATTGTATATGACGTTAGAGTGCGAAGAACGTGATACTTAATAAAGTTAGCACGTAAAAAGTTAATAATAAGAAGACAAAAAAAAAAAAGTTTCAAAAACCATCTTACTAAGAAAACTGAACACTGATACGATAAACTTAGAAAAGACTGCAAAAAATATATAAATGTATGTCAATACTTAAACTTCTTCGGCAATTCTGGAAATTTTATACATGCGCTTTTAAATTTTTTTTTAAATTTTAATTTTTAAAAGCATTTAAAATGAATTATTGTTAGCGTATTTTTAAAAGTTTTTTTTACAAATTTTGTCAGTTTTCTGTTGACTGTAATGTCACGTAAGTGCGAAGAAAACGATGCTTAGTAATCGACTGTGCCACCGCGCGTTGCCTAACATGGTTCAGAGATCTTTAATGAAAGTTTTAGGAGTGTTCGATCACTGTCTGCTGGTGCAAGCTCTATCATCACTCGTTGCGCTAGGTCAAAAAAATCCTTTTATTTTTCTAGTCTTGATTTCCTGTAACCGTAATGATTTATTTGACGTATAATTTTTTTTTTCCAGTTAATGCGGGTTTGTTTTGTTTTGTTTTGTTTTGTTTCGTTTGTTTGTTTGTTTTGTTTTGTTTAAATTATCTCTAGAGGTACTTTTAGTCTCGATCCTCACATTCGTGTCCGTATCACTTTTCAAAGAAAAGGATCTTCCTACTAGATGTTATCGCAATGTATTATTTTTAAAGAAGTAATAGAGCGAATATATATAAAAAAAAGCACGACAACTTTTAACTCACTGTCGGAAATTCTAAACATAGCTCTTCTTAAATATTTTATGATTTTGCAAATGAGTTTTATATGGCGTTTAATGCGAGGAAAGTGATACTAAAGTTAAAAAGAAATGAACTTGTGAATAAAGTACTGTTGCAAATTTTGAGTCAGCAGTCGTCTGTGGTCTCGGAACGAATTAATCCATTTTACATTCATTTCAATGGAGAAAACCGTTTTGGTATACGAACATTTCGCCTGCTGAACAGCCTCAGGAGCAAGAATTCGTAAACCGAAATTTCGGTATATCCAGAAAGCACGATATGTGTATTTGACTACTGAATATGTTTTGAAACTTGAGCCCCACCAGTGTCCGAATGGTTCGAATCAATGAATACTGGTAGTTCAAGCCGGGTTCGAATTCAGGCGAATGGGCAGGCTGCGTAGCTGGTTTTCGGTTTTCAGTTTTTTTTTTTTTTTTTTCTAGTTTTACTTTAAATGTCTTTCACTAAGGCATCCCTTACTTTAGGCAAATAGCCCTTGTATATTTTGAAATATTCAAATAGTCCAATTTTGCCTAATGTTTGTGATTCCACAAAAATTTTTTCATCATGGTATGAAGCGAATCATACAAAATTCATATTTACATTACTTGCAAAATCTGGCCCACAATGATCTGATTAGCGTTTTCGGTTTTCGTATTTTGGGGCGTCAATCCATATCCTGGAGATGGCTTGGCTGTTTGGAAGTGTATAGTTTCTTTACGTGATGGGATACTTAAAATACACGGCGAGCCGAACGTTTTCTCGAGTGGTTTGTTAGCAGGAAAAGAGAGGTGAGATAGAGACTTGGACCATAAACCGCAAGGGATTCTCTTTCAAAATTGGGACGGAAGTGGACAAAGTTGTATTCTCATCTATAAGGTGCCTAGGGCTCATTCGAATTGCAGGCGCAATCCTGCACTCCTCTCCATGGTAAAATTCATGAACTTGTTACTGTCACACAAGTCAGATAAGTCACTACATAAAAATAAATCCGAGAATATTTACAGAATGTGAGACATTCTTTTCGGGCATATCCGAAGCGGAACTTTGCCTTGAAATGCAAAACTGTTGTGTACTTTCCGGGACATCGGTCAGACGCCTGATCAGTAGTCGCTTTCAAGAAGGATTTTCTAAGGCAAATTAGCTCGTATCCAAGTCTTAGTACCTCGGCATTTCTTAGACAAAAGCCACGTTTTCGTTTCGCTTTCCAGATTAGTAACGGATATCCCGTCAAGGGGGTGTCGAGTCTTTCCTTGATCACTTTCCGGCCATCGCCGGAAATAATAATCATAATAATATCACGAAAAATAATCATAATAAATATCACGAATAATCATAATAAATATCACGAATAATAGTGTCCGGGAGACACTATTATTCGTTCTCAAGAGAAACAGGAAGTTCCCTAGTATAAACCTGATGTTTGTCACAGCACTCAGCCCGTTCGCTGGGATTCAAACTACCAGTGTTCAGCTGACTTATCCATTAGGCCACTGGTGGGCACACATTAATATTCACTGTGAAAGTAAAATGTTTCGATGATTCGTTTTATTGCAGTGGAATTGAGCTGAATTCGCGGTTTCTCAAATTATACCTGCAGACCTGAATTTAAGATAAATTTGGATCTGAACAATTTTAGATAAATTTGGATCTGAGATCTGGATTTCGAAAACAGATTTCTTAATAATATGGAAAGGAGTGATAAATATTGATATTCTCTCTTTGAATAGTTGTTGCTTAATTGATTTGAATATTTTTGACTGCGCTTTCGTTTTGGGAAAGAATAAATGCTTTGTTTGTATTAGCGGGAGTTCGAAGAACTGTCGTGTCAGTGGATGCTCATCGTCGTTTCTTTCTCGTTTCAGGGTCACCTGTACAGAGTCGTACTTCGTGAGTGAACTTGCTTGGTGCCCCGCGGAGGAACTGGAGAGCGCTCGTGACGTCACGCTTGAGGTCTGTACCCTGAGGGAGCCTCAGGACGAACTCACCTCCGCAGGTAAGGAAAAACCATCTCCGAGTTTCGAACTTTTGCTTTTCCTGAAGGAAAGGAGATAACCCAGTGTTTTGATTTGGAAAATTTCACTGAAACATTTTGAAATTAATTAATGCATTTCGTTTTATGACGAATATAAAAGTAATATACTAGTATCAATGAATTTGTTTCTGATATTCCTTCATTTAGTAATTTTGAAGTTAATTTTGATAATCCTTGATTTACTTATTCTAAAATGAATCCTGATAGTCCTTGATTTATTGATTCTGAAATTCTATATTATGAATGTATTCCGGATATACCTTGATTTAGTGATTTTGGAATTCTAAATTTGTTTCTAAAATTCTTTGATTTAGTGATTTATTGATTCTGAAGTTTTCAAATATCTATTACACATGGAATGATTACAGTTGATACTTGAACAGCATTGTGTTTACTTTTAAGTGGCGAAAATCCCCTTACTTTCTGAGAAAACGTGGCGACTATAGGTGACGTGAATCCTAATTTGTTTAGAATCCGAATCTTAAAATGTGCCCGAATCTGTAGAAATTCGAATCGCTCGGAGAGTTCATTTTATCTGATATAAAAGTTTTTAATTAAAATAAAGTTTGAAACCTAGGTTTTTCTGGGAGAAATTTAAGAACACATTAAAAAAATAAGCCTTTATATTTTTAAGAAACTAAATATGAAAGGCATGATTGAAACTTTTGACTTTTGACGTTCATCTTCTCAGTGTAATTCGGCCAAAAAAATTGAGAAAGAATTCATGCAGAGTGATTCAAAATATCTGGCAGAAATGTAAAGGCAGATAGAAGGGACCAAAATAAGCATATTTTGTAATGGAATGTATGTGCGGAATAGCCCGTTGAAGTGATACGGGATTCTGTTTGTTGTGGCCTGTCCCACCCAGTCGACCGCAATGTTAAATTAAGTCCATGAACTCCAGGAAGAACGAGTCCAGGACAAGAGAGTAGTTGGCTCCTCAGGCAACCCATGCAACACAAGATATGGGCTTGGGTCAAGTTGCATTTCGGGCAAAAGGGATAGACTTTAATGCCAGACACAAAACGAAGAACGCGCAGCTGACCAATGCGCCGCTTACCTAGAGCCGTTTGTTCAGATCCATTGCTAGCCTCTGTTAGGGAGCGCCAGGGCGGTTACCAACGTACCACTCATGCGTGTGGAGCCTTTCTCCAAGAGGTGTTGATTTCTAACTTGACCCTCAAAGCAAGTTCCGAGAAAGAAAGACGGCCACCATCAGGAGAATACGGGGTGTTGTTTAGCAGTAGATAAAAGTGCTTTGCTGGCGTAAATTGTCGTTTCTCGTGCGGATTTCGAGCGGTATACGTCGTTACACGAACTCAGAGCTCGCCGATATGCATTCCATAAATAGGATTTGAAACGGTAACGGAGCAATGGCTCAAAGGAGGTACTCGAGAATTCTTCTCTGTACCTCCTTTGAGAAATTGCTTCATCGTCATCCGCAGCCACACAGATGAAATACATGTTGACGAGATTTGCATTCATATATCAAAGCACACTAAATAATAATAATAATAATAATAATAATAAACTGCATATTTATTTAATAGAAAATCCGCTTATGAGTGAAGCCACGTAGCTTAAATTCGCGTTGTTCAAATATAAATCCAGTTTTGTTACCAACGATAAACGTTTTCTATTTCTCCCGTAATCATCGACGAAATCTTAGAATTTAATAGTAAAAAAATTATCTCAGGTTAATCTAGCTCAAATTATTTTTTTGTTTAAAACTTGAATTTTATGTTAAACCCACTAAAGATTGGGCGCATAGCAGCGCTAAATACTGGTAGTTCGACCCGTTTTTGAATCCCCGTAAACGGACTGTCTGCCCTAAATACCTAAATTTTTCCCATGTACCCCCTAAATACCTAAATAATTACCACCTAAATAAAAGTCCTCTGGAAAAGGAACCTCTGTTCTCAAGTAGCTTTAATGTAATTTACCGTTAATTAATAAATCCAATCTTATATGAGCTATTTGTTCTTTCTTTTAATTTCTTTTCACTACTGCAGTACAGTTTTTGTAAACAGTTTCCGAACAAATCCGTAGCTTATACCCCTAATCGGAAGCATTATTTTCTTCGCATAGTATTTTGATGTGGAGTGTTTATGCGCAAAGTTAGCCGTATGGAACCTCTTCACCCACAAGGCAGAAATTATTTTTATAAAATTCTTTGCCCTTGAAGTCATTAAGTTTTTTTGAGAAGGGACGCAAAAATGCGCAGTGGCCTCGCCGGGAATCGAACTCTGAATCTTCCGATTGCTAACCAGACGTGCTTTCCAAGTACATTACTAAGGCACGTGGTGAGGGGGGAGAAAAAAATCTTAACACTTTACTTAATGAAGATATGTAATTATATAAATAAGCATAAGATAGACATAGAGGTTCCTTGGATCGTACCTTACTGCCTGGATAATTGGGGCAATTCTAGAACTAATACACGCAGCAGAGCTCCGATCCTTTTATTGTACCCCTTTATTGAACCTTTTATTGTACAAGCGCTTTTATTGTACCAAAACCAATCGGACCTTGTGTCCGTACTATGTAGTGACTCTGTATAATTTTGGGCTGGTCGCTCGGGCTTGTCCCTGCGACATATCTTTCAAGTGTCTGCCTTATCGACTGTCGATTGTAGGTTACACGCCTATCGTGCTCGTAAAGAGTGACGGGGAATCAGTTTCGATTCCTGAGAGGGAGGTCTGAGAAACGGCTGCCACATCCAAGGAAGGCAGCCAGCCTCGCAAATTACCCACTGCCAGGTTGGGGAGGTGGTGACGAAATATAACAGAGTGAGTACATTCTAAATCCTTTAAAGAGGATCAATTGGAGGGCAAGTCTGGTGCCAGCAGCCGAGGTAATTCCAGTTTCAATAGTGTATATTAAAGTTGCTGATGTTAAAAAGCTGGTAAATGGATCTCAGTTTCACTCTGGTAACAACAGGAGACATGGTACCTATAAAAGCACGATTTCGATTCGATTTCAAGGGTGGTATTATTACATTGCTGTGCTTAAGGATACAAGTATGTAAGCTTTATGTCACATTTTATGTTGGAGCTATTCTGGTTCCCTAAAAAGAGAATTTAGCATTATTTTAGTCATCGCACTTTAAACTCGAGCATTCACACTAGAAAGTTAAAAAATGATTTTCCATAGTATAAAATGTTTGTGTGAAATACTTTTGTCACTCCTTTGTTCGAAGTCTCCTGTCAATAATTCATTTCCTTATAAGGTATTTACTGCCTCTTTCCAATATGCCTTTGTGGTGTAACGGTAGCACACTCGAGATGTCCAGGTTCGAGTTCCGGCGAGGGCATTGCTTATTTTTCTTGTCTCCCGTATAAAAAAAATCCCAATTACTCTTCAAGTGGCGCCCGAACTAAAAGGTGGTGGATGATGATTTTTCACCCCCAGGCGATTGGGCCCCCTAACCCCCAGTCGCCCTTTAAAAGGGGGGAGTACAAGGTATTTTCTCCCTCTTTTCTGCATGCCTTCGGGTGTGACGGTAGCACACTCGGCGCGTGTTCGAGAGGTCCAGGCTCGAGTCATGGCGAGGGCTTTGCTAATTTTTCATGTCTCCAGCTTCAAAGAACCTAATGACTCTACATCCTAAATGCTCATCAATCCTTTCTTTTCAGATGTTCTTCAAAAAGCTGCCCTAAGCCCCGATGTCAAGAATGGTCTTGATGGTCGACCCTATTTGCTGGATATCGACTTGGACTTCTATTCTACAAGAAATCCTTTCCTGAGCTTATTTAACGAAGAGCAATTTAGTATTCTACGACAGCTGTATCATTATCAACATCCAGAACAGCTCACCGAAGCGGTCAGTTATTTTTAATCTTATGCATGCTACCTTGTCTTTTTATTTCCAAAGCAGTTGTCATATGTCTTGTAAGAACAATCCTATATTATTATCTTAAATAAAAAAAATAGAAGGCACTGATTACTGCCTGGATTAATCAGTTATAAAACGAGAAAGACATCCACTATACGTCATAAAAAACATAAATAAAGCCTCTGGAGACAGCCGTTTTCCAAGAAAAAATCATATTGTTGCGTTATTTTTCTCTCCTCTTCACGCTTGTACATATGGGGTTCGTGCGGATTTGGAGTGAATAATGACAACGGCACTTGATAAAGTATCAAAACACACTTTATTGGCCAGTATTCTCAGGACAGCTCCAAAATCTCGTTTACGGTCGTCGAACTATTATAAACACGCTGACACGATCAGCAACATAGCCTTCACATTATCAGGCTATTACTGGTAAAGAGAGCTTGACTGCAAAGCACCAGAGTAGAACTCCCGATTCTGCTCGGTCGTTCTCGGAACTCCACGCTACAACTGGCGATGTACTCGACGATACACAAGAGAGTACAGCTCTCGATTCCTCCATTCAGTCGTTCTCGGAGCTCAACACATTCTCTCTACGATGCACTAACCGCGATACATTAAGAGACTCTTTCGGTGCACTCGACGACCAACTCGGCACTCACTGACTGACTATCAACTCAATGGACTCTCTAACTCCACACTCGCACTGACTGACTAACAAACTCTGCTTACCAGCAGAGTTTATATAGCTTTTGGCTTGTGTTCGAGAACATTCTGTGCTAAACCGGTAAGAATTCGTTCCAGAAGGTTCTCCATTCGTCCATGGCATATCGCCAATTTTGTCGCCACATCGGCGGTTTCTCGCCAAATGTGGCAACGCTATCTTCCCTTTCAATTTTCTGGCAATCCTAAACCTGTTTTGTGGGGAAGCTATCTTACCGCGACTGGACATTTCTTAACAATATACAAGAACCTATAAATCATTTACAAGATTTGCACTATGGTATTCTTTTTGTCCCACTCGATGGAAAACACCCTGTATTTTAAAAGATTTATTTGCTAAAATTTTCTCTAGTAAAGACCCTTTCTATGATCAAACAACCATGATGAAGTAAGAATGTTTATTTAGGATTTTGAAAAATTTCGTTGCTAGTGTTTCCTGCGCCGGAATTTGGTTCTGCCTAATGTATCAAATTTATAAGCTGGCTGGCTTTTACGGTTAAAACTCAAGCATAAGAAGACTAGCTCTCCAGAGAGGTAATAAAATACACCCGATTTGTCCGAAATGTAACAATGAGCAGGCTTCTCCGGCACATATTCTTAGGTATCTGGGTTGTCCTACGACGACCTGGTTAGGCTTTCCTATGCTAGTCTATGACTTTTTGAAGGTGAATAATCTCGTGGATCTCGTCTAGCAGAACCTGTATTTGAGGATTAGCAACAACAACAAGCTTTATTTTATCGAGAGAAGGCCGCATTTAATGTACAGTCACAAAGCTGAATAAATTCTTTACCAGCGTGTTCTCCACGGAAATTGATTCCAGTCATATATTGGGTATTATGATTATTCTTCATCAACGTGCGTTTAAATTTATCAACGAGAATACTAACGGTCCCTTTGTTACAAACTAAAATCAGAACTTTAATGATATTTGAATTCAAAATCAGGAAAATCTTTAGGAATGGCTTTTAAGCTGAGATGCTTTTCAGGCTGCGGAAAAAAATCGTGTAGGTATAGTTCGACCGTCTGTAGCGCAACCCTGGTTGGCATTCTGCCAAAACACATAGACTCGTCCAAAAGGGGCGGTATTACTTGCTGCGACGTGAAAGATCTTCTCGTCTCCGGAAAGAGCTATGCTGGAGGGAAAGAAAGTCTCCATCCTTCCACCCTATTTTGAGAATAATTCGGTCCGAATGGCGCATGCGTGTTTGCGCTCATGGTGGCGGATGAGGCGGTCGAACTATATTTCTTAGTTTTGAGACCCCATAAAGTGCAGATTATCTGGGAATCATCGTATCATCGTAAATTTCGATGAATTATAATATTGATCAGTAAGTGCTCATCACCGCTAAAGATACCTGTTATTTGGCATGATGGAGTCTCACTATTTGATATCTTTCAATTTACAATATCTTATTTACATATTGTAAATTAAATTATATAAATTTCTATATTTCTAATATGTTTTTCATATTGTAAATTATTATTATCTTATCTAATTTACAACTTGGATGCTCAAGTTAATGTATTTAGTTTAAAAATTTCAACAAAATGTCTGCCTCAAGTCAAACTGTATATTTAGATGCAATGAGCAAATTAGAAGGTGATTGATGCACTATCTGTAATAAAACTATTAGAAGTGATATTTCTAATATTGTGATTAACTTTGAAATCGTCTTACAAGAATAAAGTATGTTTTCAATATAAAAATATACTTCAGCCATGTCATGACGTGATGACCACGCATGCGCTGTTTAGCCGAACGGCCTGCAACGCCTCTCTCTCATGAGACTTACTAGAGAAGAGTGGTTAGTTAGTAGGGAGTAGCGAAGTAACGAAGGAAACGTGATGTATGTCAGCTTGGATGCAAACTACGCAGTTATACTTGTGTGTTAATCGTTTGTACTTATTATTTTTATTTGTGTGTTAATAAAGTTTTGTGGCGTTAAAATGGCTGTTTTATGCAATGCCCACATTACGATACGTCTACGGTAGGAATTACATACATATCCAGAATCTACACGCCCAAGAAGAAGGATATGACAAGCCATATAAAATTTTATTGTTCAGGTAAGATTGTGTGATTCATTAAATTATTCATATAAGATTTTAAAATCGTTAAAATTCATTCCAAACCAAAAACCACTATAAAAATTAGAAAAATCAGAAAGGCCTCAACTCTATCCATACATACGTACATACTTGTACAAATAGCTGGGAATATCGGGACAGCTTTTAAGGTGTCTTGAGAAAAAATCTTCAAAATATAATCTATTTCGATCAGAGAGACATTTTCCTCTAGACGACTGGCAACGCAAGAAATGGTCAAATTGCATTCGACTTCAGAAAACGGTAAGTGGCAGCAGTGAAAACAAAATTCTTTTGATTTGCATTTGTAGAATAGAATGCTAGATATTAGATTCCCTAGAATAGATTTGTTTTGGTACTGCTAATTAATCATTTTTAAACACTGCTGAATATTTATTGAATTTGATTTGTTGCTGAACCGATTTCATTAGATTTAAATTTATTCTTGGATTTTGAAATTACCGGCATTTTTATACACAAGCAGTACAAGTACGTGGTGTGACTTAGGGATTTTCTCAGATAAAGATGGGGGGGGGGAATTAAACTTCTGTGTCTACAAAACCTACAAGCAACCATGTCAACTGAATTTAAGATGTCACGTTTCTGCAAGTATGTCTTTTGAATTATTCAGCTGGATGCCTCACACAGTGTTAGAAGTGTGTCGGATACAAGATCCCAAATACTATATTTAGAAGGTCAAAATATTTATAATGAGCTCCTTTAATGTGTATAGGTTTGTTTTTGTCTATTTTTCTTTTTGAACTTATAATAATAGAAAGCTTTGTGTGAAAAATGAGGGATTACATCCGGAATTATCATGCATTTTTTTTTTTTTTTAATTTTTTTATTTATTTATTTGAGTATGATTTGAAAGCTGCGGGAACTTTACAACGTCTCTTTCGGTAGTGCTAAATAAAAAATTAGGAACACCATGAATAATCTGAGTAACTGCAGTCTTAATTAAACAGATGTTTTTTCCCCTATTTAGAAGGGGAAAAAGAGGATCTGCATTAATACTTATTCATAATTAAAACACCATCTTTTTCTCATAATTTATGGTAATAAATAATTAAAATTTTTAAAGATTAAAATATACACCTAAGCATTTTAATATGCCGCCCAGATGGTATAGTGGTTAGGGAAGCCGATTGCGATCCAAAGGGCACGGTTCGAATCCCGGAGAAGGCATGTTTGTAAATGTCCGACCCCTTCATAGAATGCAAAGGTGGCCCACCTGTTAGATGCCTCCATAATAAATTGACCACCCCTTTTGGCTTTAGTAGGGGCCAAAGTCTTCAATGATTTGTGCCTACCATTGAATAATAATAATAATAATATTTGTTTAAAGAGGAGAGAAATGATGGTTAATCTAATTTTGGCTGTACTCCAACTGCGCTAATGAAAATCCCCCCCCCCGGATTGAGCTATAGTCCAATTTCGCCAATCAAAACTTCTTCCCCCTGCTGCCTACTGGGTTACAATTTAACTTTTCGAAGCCAATTGTAGCCAAGAGGAAAATAAAAATAAATAAATAGAATTACATATCACAAAAACAAGTAAAAAATATCTATCAAGCAGGCTAATTACTTGAATAACAGTAATAAATGCGAGAGCTAACAAGGAAAATAAAAGGTATTGGTAAACAACATATATTAGCATTACAAACATCTTTCATTTATGATAATAATATCACAATTAAATAATTATAAAGCATACAAATTATATTTTAATAAATAACATCAATAATAGTCAAGATGTCTGAACTAGACTGGAAAATTTAATAGAGTGCAAAAAATTATTCCATATCAAAGTGTGTTAAAGTGTGCTAGAAATATTTTTCGTTAATTAAAGCAATCATGTAAATGTTTTCAGAAATTAATCGTTAAATTAAAAAAAAAAGCTTAGCATGAAATCTATTCTAACAACATTACTATGCGTTTGGATCACTGACGTATAAATTGTAAATAAATTTAAATTATTATGCTAAGAAGTTTTTCTAAAATTTATCTAGAAGAAAAGAATTAGATAAACAGTACTGCAAATTGAATATAATCAATCAGGCCTCTCAATAAACAAAAGCTTATTTTTATTAACCAAAAACTAAAAATTAGGATGCAAAAGTTTGTGTAATATACTTGGAAATATCTGAACATATAATTAGTTTAGAAACATACAATTA